TCCTGTTGTTCCTTGTCAGCAGCCAATCCTTAGCTGAGATGTGATAAATGCATATTGAAACAATCCACTGGTACTCATTAGTGCAGGGTGAATGTTGCATTTACTTTAGAGGTAGCTCTGAGGATTTGCCCCCGATCTCTAAATGGCCACCTCAAGGATTGAACTCACAACCCTAGGTTTAGCAGGCTAATGCTCAAACCACTGAGCTATAGACAGCACTACACCCTTCAACCAGCTTTGAATATTTCAATAATGCTGTATGTACAGTGTCTCCATGAGTATGTCAGGCTAATCCTGTTCCACCAGCACCCCCACCACCACAACCGGCCATGGTGAACCCTTCTGAAATGCATTTTATTTCAGTGTCTGTTGTTTTGGGGATAGAAAGCAATCCCGGCTTTATTAATTCCTAATGAGCTGGGGTTTATTCCTGGCTGTGCTACTGGCCCGCTGGGTGACCTTGGGCAAGTCATTTCCCCTCTCTGTGCCTCAGTTTCCCCATCTGTAAAATGGGGGCGATGCTACTGGCCTCCTTTGAGAGCTACTGGTGCAAAGCGCTAGATAAGAGCTGGATATTCTTATTGAGGACAGGCTGATTAGTGGAGCGGGACCGGTCGCCCTTAGGAAGTTGCTGCTGAGTTGTAAATCTGGGGAGTGTGAAGTCTCAAAGTTGAGAGGGTCGTCCCTGTTGTTAGCATCTAGCGGCCTCCTCTAAGCTGGGGGCCCATTGAGCTAATCCCTGTGCGCACATAGTGAGAAACAAACAGAGATTTCTGCCCCAAGGAGTTTATCATCCAACTAGACAAGGTAGTCGAAGGATGGGACAGGCCCAAGGTCACCCTGCAGGTCAGTGGCAGAGCCAGGTTTAGAATCCAGGTGCCCCCAGTTCCAATCCTGTGTTTCAGCCGCCGGCCCACACCGCCTCTCAGTGCAGTTAGAACAGTGAAAGGTCAGTGGGTCTGATCCAACCCCCCCACTGGAGTCTATTTCACAGGGTATGGAGCAGGCCCTGAGTGATCCAGGCGAGAGGTGACGGGGGCCCAGGGTCAGGGAGAATCATGTGTCACCAGGTCCCTGCCTGGGTTTCAAACCGCAGCTAACGAAGGGAATCCTTCAGTACTCACCACTTCAGGCGGAGGGCTGGATGTAAGAAGGCGGAAGGCGTATTTCACTGTCGGCCCTTGGTTGTAGAAGTCGATGGCCCGGGCAATGACCTTCTCGTAGGGCTCAGGGGTCTTCACGGGGACCGCGGTGGCTGCGGTGACCAGCAGCAGCAGGACCGCCCAGCAGCTCATCCTTGGTCCTCTTTGTTTCAAGGTAAGGTGGGAGTGCAGTGCCCGGGCACTTTATATACGCTGCGTCTTCAGCAGCTTTGTGCAAAGGGGGATGATTGGCTCATTCATGCTGCGCGCAGCTCTTCCTCAAAGCTGTGGCTTTCCCCTTCTCCCCCAGGAAAGTGTTGTCAGCCAATGAGCCGGTGCCTGCAAAGAGAGGGGCTTCGAAACCTCGCCGTGTAGCTATCAGTGTGATAAGGGGAGCAAAAAAAAAATCAACGGAGGGGACAAAACCCACTCTCCCACCCCACAGCTGCAAGCAGAAAATGGACAGCCTCTCACAGCTTGAGCTGCATCCATTACAAATAACGTGGCAAGACAGAGGACCAGAGGTGACCGGCTTGTACTTGCTAATAGTCACTATTCTAATCTAATTTATACCTGCCTCTGGAAACTTCCACCCCATGCATCTGACGAAGTATTCACCCACGAAAGCTTATGCTCCAATACGTCCATTAGTCTATAAAGTGCCACAGGACTCTTTGTCGCTTATTCTAATCATGTTCACTGACATATATAAATAGATGGCTAAGGGCCTGTCTACACGACAGCTGCTGAAGTGGTGCCGTTGTAGGGCCGTAGTATGGATGATTCATACATAGATGGAAGAGGGTTTTCTGTCTATGTAGTTAAACTATCTCACTGAGAGGTGGCAGCTATGTTGATGGAAGGATTCTTCCCTTGACCTAGCCACGTCTACACCGGGATGAGATTGACCTAACTACACCACTCAGGGCAAGGAATTGTTCACAGCTCTGCGTGACGTAATCTAATTTTTAAGTGTAGACCAGACAAAAGTAAAGACTGAATAACTGGTTTGCTGGGGATACATAAAGAGACCAGCAAAGAAATCAGATCCTCCGTAGCCATTAATTTAAATACCGGAGGCACCATCCTCTGCCCTGCATCCCCGTGGCTCTGTGGCGGGTTCTCTGTACAGGCCTGGGTCCTCTCTTGGAGAGGGGGTGGAATCCAAGTTGACTGGGAGGAGAGAGCAAGGGACAGCTCTAATGGTGTCACCCTGCCAGTGGCCAACACCAGAGTGGGGCTCCAGGGACTCCTATAAATTCCCCAGGTTTGGGGGCAGGTGAGTTGTCATGGAGATTTCCTCAGAAAACGTCCCCTGACCCTGGCTTTTCACACAGGAGGGGCAACCTGGGCCCAGGGTAAGAGCAAGCGTGCAGTGATCTATCTGAAGATGGTAAGAAGGAATTTTGGATGCCTGGTGTTTCTATCGCAACAGTTCAACAGCACCAACGGAAAACTTGCAGTGTCTTAGTGAGGCCCCATTCTGGCCAGTTTTCAAGGGCTTTGGGGTTGTATGTAGCCAAGAAGCCTGGGTTGCCTAGTACTGAGAAGAGGAGATGGATTATCCGATTCATAATTTTACTGGAAGCCTTCTAGCAATTTTCCAGCAGCCTTGGATTATAGTTACAATCAGTGGCTGGGAAATCCCCAGGTTCGGAGTAAGACGCAGCATAGAGAAGGTTATGCGCTCTTGTCACAGTTTCAGGGTAACTACACCTGTATCTCCCCCCACTCCATAGTCCACTCTAAGAATGCCCAGTTGGGTCTCAGGTCTCCAGCTATCACCTGTCTCTGGGCAGGGACCCTTGTCCTGCTCCCTTCTGAGCTGGGATTTTAAATCTGCACAACTCCCTGCCTTATACTGTGGTATCCCCAGCAAGCCAGTCTGCCTACCAGCCAGCACTGTGCTTTGCTGTCTCCGAGGGCTATGAACAGTGTGTTGCCAGCAGTTACAAGTTCAATACTGGGTAAGCTACAAGCAGTTACAGCTCTTCTAAGCAAACATATTTATTTGCGAGGCAAAAATATTACAGAGATAACAGAGAATAAACAGATGTAAACACACACTAACCCTGCAAGGAGTTGCCTGTCAGTTTTATGGGGCCCTAATGGGCCAAAGTCTTTCCAACTCTTCTGTAAAGGTTGGGGCCCCCTTGAACAGAAGGTCCTGGTCGTTTGCTGGATCAGAAAGAAAGTTCTGAGTCTATTTAAACAGCCACTTTATCCCCCAAGCCCATTCTTTGGCTGTTGGCCTCTGGAAAACCCAGTCTGAACCAGTATATGGAAGCCTCAGGGGGTGTTTACAACCTACGGGATTCACTTTTATCACCCCCCCCACACACACACACACACTGTTTTTTGTTCCTGGAGGAGTTGTTGGTAACCCTCTGTTGGAGACAAATGAGTTCTCACTCTGAGGTTAAAGCAACAAGCCAGAGACAGTTTAATTTTCAAGCAATATTGCAAGGAGGAGTGTGCACAACGGCAGGTCTCCCAAAAGATAAACGATTAGGGCAAGCATTGATACCTTTTGATACACACAGTAATGATCAACAACTGCATTGTGTTTATACATAGTCCTTCCTGATATCTTACTTTCCTCAGCAATTTCTGCTACAGTCTGTGTTCCATTCTTATCTAGCACAAGGTCGAAACAAGCTCTCTTACAGTTTATTTCCACTCGCCCGGCCGTGCCTGGAAGTCTCGTGTTATTAGCGGTTAGAGTTATCCTGGCTGTTGGTCTTCCTAGAAGACTAAGATGTCTGCGCTTTTTTCCCACTTCCACACTTCCCTCCTGGAGTTGCATACAATCCCTGGCCTACAGTGATACATACATTTAAGACACAACGGTTCCCACAACCATTGTGTGGGGTTGTGATAGCTGTCATGGCTCTCACCTTAGCAATGAAAGGAAATTCCACTCTGGGAAGAACCTTCATTTTGTAAGCGTTGTGTTAGCCTTTGCCAAGCAAGTCACATACCAAGGTATCTCCAGAGTTGCAGAACCTTTGACCTCTGTGTTAAGCAGTTTTCAGAATGCATTGTAGAGTTGTTCCTTATATCTTGATCACTGGGTATGACACATACACTTTGGGCAACTGGGAGGGGAATTGTGATTCACCAACAAAGAACTTCTGCACTGGATCAGCCCAATGGTCCACCCAGGGTAGGATGCCATCTCTGACAGTGGCCAGTACCAGCTGATTCAGAAGAAATTGCAAGAAATCCTACAGTGCACAATTATAGGGTATCCTGCTCTGAGGGGAAATTTCCTCCTGACCCCAATTAGTTAGAGGCTGATTTATGCCCTGAAGCATGTGGGTTTGTATCCCTTCCAAAACTCTTGTTTCTTTTATAATCTTCACTATAATCTCTCTGGATATTTTCATTAGCCTTATAAATGTCTAATTCTTTTCTGAAACTTGCTAAGCTCTTGGCCTCAGGGATATCTTATGGAAATGAGCTCCAGAATTCTGCCTTGCATGGAAAAAGTATTTCCTTTTATCAGTTTTAAATGTAATTGTAACTAATTAATAATTGATTAAATTGAATTACATTCTTGTTTTTTGACATCAGTCATCTGGAAAGGAAGAATGTTGGATTTTAATTTTAAAGCCAGAATCCCAATATCTTTTCCCACTGCACCTTGGTAACAAAACTGGCTATGGAAAATACCCAGTTCTGTAGATATTTGAGATTTTTGTTTTCACAGGCGAAGGCGAAACAACATTTACAGAGGGGAGCTGGGGCGAGGAGGTCGGAGGGGAGAGAATTATATATTGAAAGTGCACTGCAAAACAGTCTAAAGCCCCTGACCCTGTGATCTTTACTCACACAGGTAGTTCTGTTGAAGGCAACCAAGCTATTCACATAAGGTTTGTGGGATTGCACTCTTATGTTGTGTCAAATCCTGTTTATTTGGTAAAAAATATGTTAGGAAATAGGCCGTGGAATTAAGGGCAATATGGGAGTCTGATTTACAGGCTGGTGCTTTCAATCCAATTTGAACAATGTCCTACATTACACAGGGAAGGGACAGGTGTTATCACTAGAACTGGTCAACCTACTTTTTGCCAGAAAATATTCTTTTGACCAAAGCAAAGATGCTTGTGAAAAATGTTCAATTTGGTCAAAATGTTTTTGGCTTTGACTAAAAATGGCAAAACAATATTTTTGGGGGATGAAAACTTTAGATATGAACATTGCAAAACTTTTGATAGGAACATTTCAACATTTCATTTCTTGTAAAGATCGTTTTGTTTCGTTTCGTGAGTGCACGTGGGAATTTTCTTTCACTTTCCCCCACTGGAAACAGGAGGGAGGGAGCAGGATAACATGAAATATTTAGAAAAATTTCAAATACTTCCAAAATGCCCCAAAACTTAATTTTAGTTGGAAAAAAAGACCCAAAGTCTCAAAAAATGTTGAATTATACCTTGATAACCTTGGTCAATCGGTCCATCAGCCCTCACAGAGAGATAGCCGATCACAACACATCATTTGTGTTGTTCTAGCTCAGGGGTCGGCAACCTTTGAGAAGTGGCGTGCCAAGTCTTCAGTAATTTAAGGTTTCACGTGCCGGTAATAAATTTTACATTTACAGGGGCCGGTGGACGGAACCTCAGACTGGCAGTGGGGTGAGTGGGGCTGGCGGCAGGGACCCCAGACCGGCAGCACAGGCGGCAGACGGAACCCCAGACCGGTAGCGTGCAGAGTGGCTCAGCCCGCTGCCAGTCTGGGGATTTGTCCACCAGCTCCTGCCAGCCGGGGTTCTGGCCGTCGGCCCCGCTCATCCCGCTGCCGGCTTAAGATTCCGTTCACACGGCAGGCAGCAGGCTGAGTGGGGACGGCGGCCGGGACCCCGGCTGGCAGCAGCGTGCCAGTAAAAATCGGCTCGCGTGCCATAGGTTGCTGACCCCTGTTCTAGCTAGTCCTTCAGCCACCTGCTGGCCAGGCTGTCAGTGACAACAGACTGAATTATACCAAACATGTTAATATCTATAGAATTTGGTTTTGCTAAATATGCTTCCTTTCCCAACCAACTCTCATTATAAATTGGCTGTGTTTGACTCCAAGGAGATTCACCGCTTTTGAAATCAGATTAAACTCTGTGCCATGTGGGGCATATATTTGCTTTCTAAATCAGTGGTTGGTAAATCCCAGTCTTTTCCAGACCGGGCTCCCATGTAACAA